TTACAGTGAGTTACTTCCCCCTTCCAATAAATCCTTCCAAACGTAAACATTTCACCAGTCCAACAAGCAATAATTCAGCTTCTGGCATGCTGTCTTGCTGGATTAGTCCCACCACAGCATTCAGGAATAATTCAAATGACGGCCATAACAGCAAGAGGAACAGATTTATTTATGTATGTATGTATGTATGTATGTATGTATGTATGTATGTATGTATGTATATATGTATGTATTATTTTAAATGACTCTCACAAAAGGTTGTTGGTGATTAAGTATTTGTTCAATAGACTTTTGACAGTTGTGTGAGGCCCCCAAACAGATGTTGCTGCCCTAATCCTTAAGGAAATCTTTGACATATTCCAATTTTAAATACAAATCCTCATTACAGAGAGCAAGATTTGGCAAAGCCCTCTCTTTAGTAGATTCCATTTGGCTCCAAAGAACATTTAAGGCTTCAGAAATGGGCAAGGGTTAAGTGAGACCCTACCTCTCATCTGTTTTGGCAGAATAAGACCTGTGCAGTTTTATTTCTCAAGTGCAATCAGTTGCTTCTTTCCGTTCCCATTTTTCCCAATGATTCGGCATCCCCCAGTATGTCGGAGATGTTTATTTAGTGACAGAGCGAGTATAAGAACCCCCACCCTACCCCTAGAAAATACACTCTAATTCCCATCTCAATACACAGCTGCCAAAAGAGATGGGTAAATTGCCAGGCACACATGCATTTTCCTCCAACAGCTGCCTCAGCTTATATGGTTGATATTTGGATGTATAAGAGAAGGAGGGAGAGAAATGATTTGGGCACAAATCCATCTTTCATGGTACAGGCAAAACTGAAATCTCTTGTTACAACCTTGCCCTGCTTGCATACATCATGTTCTGTGCTAGAACATGCACGAGGGAGAGGGAGGGGGGAAAGAGAGAGAGAGAGAGAGAGGGAGGGAGGGAGGGAGAGAGAGGAGATCGCCTGCCATAAAGCAGTGCAAATGACATTTTGAAAAAGCAAGAAATTTATTCTGTTGCAGTGTATGACTTCACCGGCGTATTTCCCAGGTTGCAGTTTCATACAAACTACCCACACATGTTTAGGAGGGTGTTTTCTCCCCTTATTGCCCTCCTCCCTGATCTTTCCTGTGTATCTCAATTTTTTTCCTTGACTGTTTTTCCCCACCATCAAACCGATATTACCCCCACCCCCAGCTACTCAAATAGGTTGCCTCCATTTTAAATTGGTTCAAAGCAAATTCCTCAGGAACTGCTTTAACCCTTCCAACTCATTTGAACATCATCTTTCATCAAAGCAATGCCTTCGCTCCCTCCCCAACTTCAGAGGAAGGAAACTGGTCCAGCCTGTCTGCAATTTAACCCCACCTGGCCTGTTTTACCCATATGATTTCACTGAAAAGGGTCTTCGTTAAGTGAACATATCTCTTCACACTCCATTTAATTTCTCCCCCCCCCCACTCCCATCATATTGCAAAGATCCAGTTTATTCCAGTTGCTAATTTCACACATATAAACATACCTATTCATACATGTACAAAGGCACGTGCTCACTGCACACACACACACACACACACACACACACACACACACATTTCCATCTTCAAAAAGGGATTTCAAATCCTTTCCTTTCTCAAACTTTATTTTATCCTGTTTGATTAGCTTATATAAGCCAATCCACTCTTTGGATTGATGCCATCCCCAAGGCATCTTATGCACTTTGATGGCTTCACAACAACTTAAGTAAAATACTCGTTCATTTTGGTATCCTGCTGTGAACCCTTTCTGCAAAATGCTCTGGATCGGTCTCTGCACATGTGTGCATGCTTATAGGTGCACATACATGCAGATCAAGCAGGCTGTGAAGCAGCTAAAGGCTCTCCCAGCTGCCTTGTTTCTGCAAAGGCTTCCTCTCTTAGCAAAGGTCTCTCCAGGACACCTTCTGCATCTTTTCCCATAGTTCCTCTCTTGAAAAAAAGAAACCAGAGTTATTCTAGAGCTCCCTCTCTGCCAGGCACAGGGATCGACCTTCTTTTCAATATTCTACTTTCAGGAAGCCTGGGTGGGAGGAGGGAGTCTAATGTCATATTCACAATACATTTATTCAATTTATGAACCTGACCATCACCTGATATACTATATGGGGGAAATGATGCATAAATCTTGTGTATTTGACCCAACCCTGAGCCATCCTTGTTGCCAGTCCTATATGCATAGCAGATGAAAAGACATTCTTCTGTCTTTGAACCATACTGCTTTGGGGAAACAAGTTCATCAATGGCTCTACTTTGCTACTATGTTTCCCCCCAAATAAGACCCTGTCTTATATTTCTTTTGAACCCTGAAATAAGCGCTTGGCCTTATTTTTGGGGAGGTCTTATTATTTTGGGGCATGTGGAGCAAGATGGGGCTCCTCTTGCCATTTTACCTGATTTCCAGCTCTGTCTCCCTAACCCTAACCAGAGGAAATGGCGGGGTCCGGCTGCACACGCGTTTAAATATTTCCGGGGAGGGCTTATTTTCAGGGAGGGCTTATTTTAGCACATGCACTCAAAAGCCTGATTGGGTTTAGTATCAGGTGATGTCTTATTTTCAGGAAAACATGGTAATTGCTTTTCATTTTCAACTTGGTCCTATATTAGATTAGAATATTAATCTAGCCACCCCAGGTTTTATGGAGGAAGACTTCCTTTTGAGGAAGACTGCCCCTACCACCACTCCACTTATTGCTCTTCATTTTTATTTTTAGAAGTGCAAATACATTTCTACCCCTTCTCTTTCTATCCCTGTCTTCCAGTATTGAGGCCTAGAATTGTCTTCTACAGTGAAAAATTCTTTGCATCCTTAACTACTGTGCTCATTTATTCAGCAAATCAAATTGTGTTCAATGGGACTTATTCTCAATCAAAGAAGCAAGGAAGTTTGCATTCTCATCTCTATAGTGCCTTCATAGTAGAGCAGGAAAGAGAGAACTTGCTTTTCTCCAACATACTCTAGGTTGATTGATTGTCAACAGCTCAATCTAATGTGGTAACTTCCATGTATGTTGGGATTGCAACTCTGGGCATCATGGCAGTTCCATTCCTAACATATCTGGAGGACACCAATCTGAAGAATGTTACATCACTAGGCCTCGGTCTTATCTCCGTTTACATTATCATTGGGACATCCATGCCTATAATTTAAAAAGGTAAGATCTGGTCCCAAATACATATTTCTGTTAAAGGTGATCCAGAATGAAAGATCATTGTCCTAGGAGATGTAATCCTAGGAGAACTTCCTTGATCATCTAAGGAAGAAATGTAGGATGTTCTTCTTATTTCTCAATTGTAAAGGATTTAAGATTATATCCTCTTAATGCATTTTTTCTATGTTATCTTGTCATGCCAGAGTCTGAAGAACATTCAGGTTTTCTACCTCAGATTCATTTTAGCAGAACAAATCCAACAAACAAGGTAATTTTAGAATGTAGTGGTGAGGGGAACCAAAACATCTGGAGATACCAGGCTGGAGAAAGCTTCTCTAATTAGAAGGGGAGTCCAGAACATCTGGAAGGTACCAGATGAACCAAATCTATTTTAGATGATAACCAGTGAATCTTTTCTGATTAAAATGTAATCCTTGGCCAAATAGCTCAGTGTTGTGATTTCTTTTTTGGCCATGCTTTGAGCATCTCAGTTATTCCCAGATTGAGATTTCTTTCCTCCATAATAATTTAAGGGCATTCTGTCCACAGGTTTTCTTTTGAGGGGATGACTTCAGGTTTTCCACAGGGATGAAAAATATTTTAAGACCTAAAAATACTGTACCAGAGCATAATACTGTTTCTTTTTGAAATAGCCCAACTGCAGTGGTTCATTCTAAGAGGTGATCTTATTAGTTTCCTAAGAGGGTAGACAAGATCAGGATGGCCAAGAAAGCTCCCTTTTTTTCTGCAGCACCCTGTTGGCTGGTTTGTGCATATTATGTGTCTGTGCTTCCTTTACCAAACAGGGACAACACAACTGCATTCTTGGGAGGTGAGTACAAGTTGTTTCCTCTCCATTTGAGACTTCCCTAACCCAGACTATTGGCTTACATTCCCCCCAACAGAGAGAGAGGGGGAGAGAGAGAGGGAGAGAGAGGGAGAGGGAGAGAAGGAAAGAAATACACACACACACACACACACACAAAGAGGGAGGGAGGGAGGGAGGGAGAGAGAGAGAGAGAGAGAGAGAGAGAGAGAGAGAGAGAGAGATCATCCAGTAAACCCAAGTTCTCTGGGAATTATGAGGATGAAGTCCAGTAAATCCGAAGAGCTCCAGATTGCACTAAACTGTTCTATTTCTTCAGCGTGTGTACAGAAAGCATACACATGCAACGCTGCCCCCCCCCACACACAACATACCAGATTTTAAGAGAAATCCTGTCTTGGCCTCAGTGGCTGGCTCTGTGCTTCACGCAACTGAGCATTCCCTTACGTCACTTGGCATAAGCTTTTGAATAAGAATAGGAGATTGCCTAGCTCTGCCTGAGATTTGGGAGACTGGAGGCGTTCTTCTCCCCCTCCCTGGCTATCCCTGCATATGCATTTAGTCTTTTTGGAGAGAACACCACTCTCCGAGGAATCCTCCTCCCTCACAGGGCATCTGGAACGATTTGCCTGCCTCCCATCTCCCCCTCCCTCCGCCAAATCTCTGTAGGGAAAATGAGCGCAGACTTTCCAACACACACACACACACACACACACACACACACGCAATCTAGAAAAGGGGGCATTTCCCCACCCGGTAGCCACACTTACAATTCCTCTTTGCAAACTGGGGACGGGGCCTTGCACCTTTCTAGCAGCCATGCATTTCTTGAGTGCACTCAGTCAGCCTTGGAGGTCACCCTTCCGCGGCCTGGGGCGCGACAGGGGCCGTAGAGCTCCGTACCCCTCTCATCCCTTGCAGGCAGCCTCCCCCCCCACCGCCCCATTTCTCGCTCTCGCTGCCTTCCTGCCCCTCCCGCCTTACCTCCAGACCTGTCCCATCTGTAGCAGGTGGATAACAGTCTGCCAGATCCAGACGGAAAGCCTGCAGAGGCGCTGTGCGCCGGGAGGGGCGGCGTGATGTCCCGGGCCAGCCCGACGGCCCCCTCCGACCGAGCCCATCATGGGAGGGCCGCGGCTGGTGAGGCCCTGCACGGCTCCCAGGCCTCCGCCGGTGTAGTCTTGCACGAACCATCGGAAGCTGAGGATCTGCACCAAGACCGAAGGCAGGAGGACGAAGGCCAGCGTCAGGCCGCACCACAGGTAGTCCCGCCGGCCGTAGTGGTCCAGGGCCAGCCAGAGGTCGGTGCCCACATCGCCCAACAGCACCAGCAGCGCCAGCACGATCCACAGACAGTCCAGCCACGGCCGCTCCACCGCCAGCGCCACGACCGCCGCCGAGGGCGAGGGCGGCTGCCCGTCGGCCGGATCCAGCGGGTCGGTGCCGCCTCCCGGGCCCCCCGAGGCCGACCCCCCGGCCCGGCCCAGCAGGCTCCGTAGGCAGGCGCTCCGGCAGCCCCAATAGCACGATGACGTGTTGCAGCAATGGCAGATGTGCATGGAGCTGCTGCCCCCGGCCTCGTCCCCCGCGCCGCCGCAGCCGCCCGGGCCGGCCGCGGCTGCGGCGGCGTGGTGCGGATGATGGTGCGGGAGGTCGTCCAGGTTGTGCAGCTGCGAGAAGCCGCTGCCGTCCGACTTGGCCGCCATCACCTCCGCCGCCTGCCGCCGCCGCCGCCGCCGCCTCCGCCGCCACCGCCACCACCAGGCTCCCCCCTTGCTGCCCGGCCCGGCAGCCCGCTTCCCGCCCGCCCGCTTCCCGCCGCCCTCCCGTCCGTCCTCCCTTCCTTCTTGCCTGCCCTCCTCCCGCCCGCCCTCCTCCCGCCCTCCACCCGGGCCCCTCCGGCCGCAGGGCTCGGGATGCCCTCCCCACCACCCACCGCCTCCTCCTCCTCCTCCTCCTCCTTTCCCCTCCGCTTCCGGGAGAGGAGGGAGGCGCTAAAGACCAACCGGGGCCCCCATTCCCTCCTCCTCCTCCTCCTTCCAGACCCGCAAGCAGCAGCAGCCGCCGCCGCCGCCGCCGCACAGGAAGGATGGGGCTGGGGGACCCCTAGTGCCAGCGCCGGGAAAGAGCCAGCGCTCCACTGAGGGGGAAGGAGAAGGAGACCACCCCGCACGTCCGCCCACGCCACCGCGGCTGGCATTGAGGGAGGAGGGGGGACACCCTCGCCTGGCTGGCTGGCTGGCTTGGACCAGATCGGCCCGGTCTCCCCCTGCCAAGGTCCAGCATCCCCAGCTCACCCCCGCCCCCCCCCCCCTTCCCGAACGCCCTCTCCGGCTTACACAGGCGCTGGTTCAGCTCGGAATCTACCGAACCGGAGGCTTCCTGCAAGCGTAGCCTCTATTGCCTGGCTTCCACCTCCATTCCACCTGCACATAGCCCCGCGTCCGCTTTTTAGCCTCCATCCGCCATCCTTAGTCTCAGCACAGAGCCCCCTCCCTGAGATGTCCCCATTGCTTCCCTTGGAGGTGATGCGCCTGGGCGACTTTCACGCCTGTGAGCTATGTCACACCTCCGCCTGCCCGCCCTTGTCTTGCCGGACTTGCAGCCTACGACGTTAGTGGGCAAAAATTGCACTGACTCCTTATCATACTAGCCTCTCAGGGCTCAGCTCTTCTGCAGCAAGAGTAGCAACCCCCTGGATTATTATTCCTCCTCCCTCCCTCCCTCCCTCCCTCCTCCTCCTCCTCCTCCCTCCCCCACCCGTCTCTCTCCACATAAATACACACACACCCTATGCCAGTTGCAAACTATCATCCCAGTTTAAAACTGGTTGGGTGTGATTCAAATCCCAAGTGTTTATTGGCTTTTTTGAAACATTCCTACAATTCTGCATTTGCATTCTTAGATCACTTTCATAGAATGCTACCAGATTTCTATTCCTTCTACTCCAAAAGCCCAGTCACTTTTCTTCTACAACAGATAAATGTGTTTATTACTTCCCTGGAACTGCCCAATCTAGAGCTGTTTTAAGTTCTTACCACCCATACTAGGTTTCATTATTTCTGCTCGTTATTCAAGCCTGATAACCTAGAATGAATCTAACATCTTGGATTATTGGTGGTGGATGGGGACAGTTGCGATCCTCAAGCTGGAATGATAGTATTTCTAAAGTGTTTATTAAAATGTGGTGCTCTGGGACATGCAAACACAAAATGCCAGCCCTGCCTAAGGCACACCAAAGTGCTCAAGGAGGTTGGGGGAGTGGAGAAAAAAGAAAAAGAAAAAGGAAGATGTGTCAGATCAATTAGAAGATGCTAGAGTGAAGAGGGCAAGCTTTTATCAGGAGTTTCAATGCAGCAGTAAAAGGTACCAGGAGAGAGAGTGACTAGGTGGAAAGGCAGGGCAGACTGAGCTGAGAGAGGATGCAATCCAAGGTTTAAAAGGGATCAAGGTCCTAAGGGAAACCCAAAAGGTCCGTCTATGGAGAGAAGAGTGGAAAGATAAGTGAAAAGAAGAGAAAGATTCTCTTTTGCATAAACTACCCAGGGTTTCCCAAAGACACCTTCTTTCTCACCCTCATCCACCAATGAATTTCTGCTTTCTCTCTCAAAGAAATATTCCCCACCTAATCCATGGACAGAGTTTGCTTCTCTGGCTGCTTTGCTTTCTTGCATTCTTTATCTTTCCCTAATACCATCCATCAACAATTGTGGTAAAGGTACTCACAGTTAGTGTTGTGTAAGTTATGCCTCTTTCTTTGTCCCAGCCACAACTTGGCCTTCTGGAAGGATCTCCCACTTTACGTTTATGCAACATATGTGTTGACTGCTATAGTCACAAAGAAGCACCAGTGGAGTCCATAAATCAACAATGACTCTGATGAAAAGCAACTTGCTACTCCCCGGCTACAATAGAATCACCTGTTGCTGCATTTTCTGCCTTAGTTTCAGCTTTGTGCCACTTGCCTGGCTCAGCCGGCAATTATTTTGATCTCTGTCCATGGTGCTGAGGTCTAGCCTGCCATTTCCGGGATCCTGGCCTGAATTGCTGCTGCTTTATGCATGCTAGAACACCCATTTCTCGCATGTCCTACGCTCCTCTTTGAGTCATCTAAGCTAGATATGTCTGGCTAATTAACTAGAAACCAATTCCAAGTAAGAATCTGCAACATTTGTAAGAACATACGCATATAAATTATGTGTGAAGTTAATTTGTTTTCCCCTCCTATTTTAGAAAAAGCTGCTCAAAAGCAAAGAGTGAGGAAATATGCAATAGGGATAGGTATCTTAACTATGCCTCCCTGAATTAGTTCTCATTCAGAAATTGCCTATCCAAGCAGTTTTCCCCAGCAAGTAGCATTTCAAATCTGTACACAGATTTGAAAAACCAATTATAGCAGAAAATGTTTGGGTGGCTATATAGAGAAGGTGGAAGGTTGCCTGTTACCAACAGTACCAGCAGCTGGCTAGACTGTTACATGAGATTACCAATCTGTCTACCTGAGTTTGTTAAACATGGTAATTCTTCCAAGAGAAAAAGTTTCCATTAGGCAAGTAGTTATACAATCACCATCTGTTTTTAAATGGGAAGTTGCTCACTAACCTGGAATATGGATAGGGTAGAAAACAATACCCCCCTTTTAAGAATAAACTTGGTTATGTGAACTGGTATTAGTAGTAATTCAGTCACATAGACATTCTTCAGAACCATATCAGACCTGTTCTCATTGCTTTTGGCTAGCTGCCAGAGGTAAGTTGAAAAGTTCAGAGTAAGCTGAGAAGTTCACTTGTCCTGTACTGATGAATTAATGTAGCAAGGCCTGGCTGATACCTATCATTAAAGGTCCTTTGACAAAGAATCTAACACTTCGCCTGCCCACTTTGGAGATGAGAGTGACATGAACCAAGAAGCCAAGATTGCTTTGGTTCTCTGACATCTGGTGTGGACCTTGGCTGTTACCCAAGGTCCACACCAGATGTCAGGGAACCAAGGCAATCTGATGACAAGTGGTTACTAGAACAAACATACATGGATGAGACAAAGGAACCCAAGTGATGGGATGCTACTACAACAGTAAACCTAATAACAGAGGTATATGAAAAAAATAAGGGAGCTATGGATGGACAGAAAACTTGCATTCACACTAACTGAGGAGCAGGTAAATTACCCAATGTTTAAACCTAGTGAAGAGGAAGCTGCTCTCACAGCTTGAGATGACCAACTTCACATTGCATCCTAGTCTCAAGAAGACCCAGAAGAACAATTAGATATACACCCAACACCTGAAATTGGAATGTCACTGCCACCTCCTCTATTAAAGATCACAGCAGCTGATTTGAGATATAAGATCATGGATAAGCTAGCTACAATCACCCCTCAAGACAGGTTACTACTACTACTACTAGTGAAGAAGTACATCAGTCAGTATTCTAGAAGATGCTGATAGAGCCCTCGCAACAATTCCTACTACTACCATAACCAATGACCTGGTATAGGCTATAACTACCCTATAATCCTAGAGATACTTGGCTACACAATCAAGAAAAGCAGTGCATACTACTCTTCCCCTCCCCTCCCCCGAAAATGGGGCTGAAGGCTAAGATCAAGACAATTCAGAAAGAAATTAATCAGCTGGTAGAACAACAGAAAGTTGTTGTGATTAAGACTCAGCTACTGAAAATATATATGTAAGGGCCTGACTCTATCCAAAGCCCTAGGAACTACCAAACAAAAGCTCACAGCATCAGCTACCAGCCTAAGGACATACAGAAAATGTAATTGAGCTGATATTTCATGACAAAAGGTCCTGAAATGTCAACTCAATGAGAAGAACAAGATCCTCACCAGGAATATGTATACCTTGTTAGTCATCAGATACAGGGGTCAGCAACCTTTCGGACCTCAGGGACCACTAAATTCATAATTTTAAATCCCGAGGACCACTAATATGAATTTTTTAAAAAGATAGATAGTATTTAGTGCAATATAAAAAATGCAAATAATTTTTCTGCGGACCACCAAAATTTTCTCGTGGACCATCAGTGGTCTATGGAGCACTGGTTGGTGACCACTGATCAGATATCTGTCATACAGTGAACTGGCCAAAGGGGGAGCTGCAGCTTCTGATGTGAATATCCAGAAGCTTCTCACAATGTATGGAGGTTTCCACCCTAAATTCCAACAACCAGAGACTACACCAGCTAGAAAGAGGGTGGAGAGAATCTGGTGAGTATCAAAGTCACTATCCTGGATGAAACCCAGAGCATCCAGGAGGAGTAAGAACGCACCCAAAGATGAGCTGCTGAGAGATTGCCTGAGGCAGTAGCAGACATGGAAGAAAGATCAAGCAGAGGAAGTGCCATGGCAAGACAAGGCTCTGCTTGGGATGTACCATCAACAGATAGCTGAGGTGGCGGACACTTAGAAGTCCTACCAGTGGCTGGTAAGAGTTAGACTAAAAGATAGCACTGAGACATTGTAAATAACAGCACAAGACAGGCACTAAGCACCAGATCCATAGAAGCAGAGGTTTGCCACGCTAGACAGGACCCAAGGAGTAGACAGTGCAGAGAGGGCTCAGAGACAGTCCAGCACATAGTGGCAGGGTATAAGATGCAGGCAGGAACAGCATACACTGAATGGCACAACCAAGTAGCTGACATTGTGTACAGAAAATGTAGTGTATGGGCTATACCAGGGGTCTGCA